TTATTTTATATATATTTTTTTTGTATATATAAAAAACATATTCTGTATAATAATTATATATTTTAATATCTCTAAAAATTCTATTATGTAATCATATATATCAATGTATTATGTAGTTATATGTTATTCATATCATTACAATAATCAATGCAAACAAGAATAATCACTAGGCACAGAAAGATATTTTTGCTTTGGGAGCCAGGGAAGTCTTAAGAAAGTCGTAACACAAAAAGGAAGAGAAATGTCCAATAACCTTTTCTATCGTTTCTCTTTTCAGAGGAATACAAAGCAAAAATGCGTGAGTGTCCTTTTCTTCGCTTTCTGGAGCAGTAAAAGATGTGAGAGGTTTTGGGGGCATTTTGGAGTTAGGTGAGCTGTGAGATTTTTGTCTTTTTGTCCTCCGTGGACTTCAGCAGTGCGGAGATCACCCACAAAAAGGTGAAAATATTGGTCATGACTTTCCAGAGCACCCATGTACCTTCTTCCCTCTGCAAACTGTACAAGCGATGTCCTTTAATTGTAGCAGAAATTCCTGGTATGACCTATTACAGCTTTTTTTTCTATGCGGCAACTTCTGCCTGTGGTTTAGTTTAAACCATCTGTATGTTTTTCTGAGGTTTAATCTAAATGACAAGTCACGTTACCGACACAAGTCTCAACAAGGTCTTGTTTTGCAACATTTTAATCTCATGCTAGGGAAAAAAAAAAAACACACTTTTTGGGAGGAAGGAAATTAAAAATTGACTTTAACTGGAGGCATCTTTGGAATGGAAAAAAACCATTAAAACAACTTTTTAATTTTTTTTTTTTTTAAGGAAAATGCATTGAAGAACACAGTAAGTGCATTTATTTTTTTTTCCTCCATTCTACAAATAGCCCTTTGGCTTTTGGATTTAAGTTTACATCGTCTTTTTTTTTTTTTATTGTGCATTTGCAGGGAAAAAGGAAGCAAAAATGGGTAAGTATTTTAGAGAAAGGTGAAGAAAAAAAAATGGGTAAGTAATTTGGTACTCTGGTTTGCTGAACGGTGTCGCGTATCTGTGTAGCGAAAGTTGCACATCAAATTATTGAGCCTTGAACTACAGAAAGACAAAACACCCGATTAGATTTCCGAGAAGACACCAGTCCCCAGGCAAAGGGCATGTTAAATAAGTTTAATTCTCTTTCTCGCCCTCTTTTTATCCTCTTCCACAGCAAACGTGACGCTGGACCCTGAGACCGCCCATCCCCGCCTCATCCTCTCCAAGGATCAGAAGAGCGTGAGATGGGAATACGTGCTGCAGGAGTCTCCTGATAGCCCCGAGCGGTTTGACGCCGATCCTTGCGTGCTGGGCTGCGAAGCCTTCACCTCCGGGAGACACTACTGGGTGGTGGATCTAGCCGAGGGACAGTACTGCGCCGTCGGCGTCAGCAAAGAGTCTCTGCAGAGGAAGGGACCCATCAGCTTCAATCCTGAGGAAGGGATCTGGGCAGTGCAGCAATGGGGATTTAAGAACCGCGCCCTCACCTCCCCTCCAACCCTCCTTAACTTGCCACGGGTCCCCAGAAAGATCCGGATCTCTCTAGACTACGAATGGGGAGAGGTGGCGTTTTTTGACGTTGATAACAAAATACCCATCTTCACTTTTCCTCCGGCTTCCTTCGCTGGGGAGCGGATCCGGCCGTGGTTCTGGGTGGAGCTGGGCTCGCTCTCTCTGGTCCGATTACCCTTGTGTTCCTCCTTGCGCGGAGAGCTCGGCGCTGGCGGTGAGCGGGAGGTTTAAGGGGCAGGAGGAGTGGTGGAAGCACCTTACTGCATCCAGACAGCAACAGCTGGGTGGTTAAGAGCAGCGGGATTAGAGACTAGGATAGAAATGCTCTCGAGAAGAGCAGAGTCAAACCTCATTCTCCCCCATTCCCAGTCGAGTCCTCCAGCCGTCATGGTGCAAAGGAAAGGCATGTCCTCAACATGAGGTGGGTGAAGGTCTGCCAGGCCTCAATGCTTGGCCCAAAATCTCATAGTTGCATTCCAGCATACAGGTGCATCAGATGACCTATGGAGAGACATAAGCTCCTCCTTCAGTTGATCGAAAGAGGTGGGCACCAGGGTAAGTCACTGTTCACGCAGCCCGTGTCACCCGAGTGGCAGTCCAGGCTCCCGCTGGCATTTTCTTCTCATCGGTTGGTGGTTGATGCATGGATTTCAACCATTTGAGCCACTTTTAGAGTAGGCAGAGGGAAATAAGCACTTCTGATGGGCAACTCATCTCATCCAGACGTAGACATCAAAATAGGACAGGCAAATCATGCTTTCCGTGTGCCTCTCTGTCTTCGTCAACAGTTGAGAGGACTCTCTTCTTCGTCAACAGCTGGAGAAGTCTACGCTTGGAGGAGATTAAAAACTCTCCTTCGCCCAACCTGCATACAAATGCAGGCCCTTTGCCCTTGGCCAAAGAAAAGATGTGGCAAACCCCCTGTGCCTGCCCACATGGCTCCCAGGTGCCTGGTCAATGCACCAACATCTCCACAGGTGAAGATGCTCCAGCCAACATGCTGCTGCTCGAGGCATTGCTCCCATAATCCTTTATACCAGAGCTGGATGCAGCCAGGTTCTCTGGCAGGACTAAATTTGACTCAAATCTGACCTGGGCAGATGATCTTATTCCAGCTGAGTCAGCCAGAAGCCATGAGCTTTTGGGAGAAGAGATAAGCCTGGATTCAACACCGTGATGCCCACAGGTTGAAAATTGGGGTGTCAGACATCCAGACCATATGGATTAAAGGTTTGAAGAGACTCACCCCAGCATGGAGCTCTGCATCATGTTGCTGTAAAGCTTCTAGCGAGGTCCTGGGAGGTCTAAAGCTAGATTCACAGAGCAGGTCAAGCCAGTGCTTGAGCCATGCCAGAAGATGTGGGCGATCAGGGACATCACTGAAGCGGCTAGAGGAGATGGACACCATGGTCTTCACCTTTCACAACATCTCACTGCGCTTTAATATCACCGATGAATTCCTCTTTAATCCCTGCTTGTTCTTAGCCACCTGTAAAGCCTTAAATCTTGTCTTTTGCCCCACCATGGGTTGGCCAATGATAATTCCCAGCTGACAATAAACCACTTGAAAATCTCCAGAGTATTTGATTTCTCTTTTCCAGCTGGTTCATCCTGGCCCTTTTCAGATGATGCCTCTGCAGCCTTTATGATCTCTCCTTGCAGCATCTTGCCCCACTTACTCCCCTCCTACTAAAAATGGGGGATGCTTGAGGTGGATCCCACCGTTGGGGAGGGATTCCGTCATCTCCCACCCGCGAGCAACGGCCAGAGCATCTCAGGGTCTCAGCCCTGTGGTTTTGGGGTTTTCTTCCTGCAGTTCCTCGGGCCAGAAACCTTCATTATCACCCTTGCAACCCACATTTGTGGTGGCACTGGTAGGAAAAGACCCAAGCAGGGGGAAGAGGGAGAAGAGGGACAGAGCATTCGTGTCTGAGGGCTTCAAGTTGATCATATATTAACCAAGAAATAGCAGCTCAAAATACATTCCTTCAGTCGGCAGACAGAAATTGCGGGGGGAATATATAATAACTTTTTAAAATCCTCTTTTCTAAGTAACCATCGATGTGGGAAACATCACAGAGGAGAAGCTGCCCTTCCTCCGTGCTGGAAATCACCACCAGCGGCTTTGATGCACAAGTTTATAAGGCTGGTTTGGCTCTAATTAAAAATTGCAGTCAGGAAAGTGTTCCTGTGCAGCTTGTAACCCATCAAAGAGGCTGAACGCGAGATGAAAAAGCTGCCCAGCTCTTGATTTAAAGCAGTTGGACAACTGCTGTGCTTATTTTTTATTTATTTTTTTTACCCTGGTGGTGGCCCGGGCGGGTGGTGAGCGCCCGGGAGGTTGCTGTGCTCGGATGGTCCCTGTGTTGCATGGTGGCAGATGCCCCATCTTACCCAATAACCAAAGATATTTTATCTTATAGCTGAAAATGATAAAGTCTTGGGTTTTGGGGGTTTTTTTTAGATCCAAGCTTTATCTTGGATTGAAAAATCCAAGTTGAGGACACTGATCTGCAGAGGGATGTAAGTGAGCCTGTCCCTGGCAGGGAGACACCAGGCAGCGCATTCCTCTCCGTGTTTCCTTAAATAGGGGTGATATTTTCCCCTCTATCCTCCATGTGATCTGACTCGCAGCTCGAACAACCCCGAGGTGGCTGGAGAGGAGCCCTGTGGACTAAATCACCCCACGCTTAAACAAACAAACAAAAAAAATAAATCTGTAAAGACCTTGTGCTGCTGCCGAAGGGGTAAGTGTCTCTTTTCGGGAACATCTCGGCAAAGGGAATCGGGAGCATCCCGGCCAACCTGGCACTGCCGAGGTGTTTTTGGAAGTGTAAAGATGAAAAGCTGTTAAATTGGGGGTTGCTGTGGTCTCTCCGTGCGGTGCGAGCTGTCAAGGGCAGGGGGAGTCGTGTCGCTGAGCCTGCTTCGGGCACGCTTACGCTGCATCCGCTGCATCGATCGATTCAAATTGGTTCCCAATAAAAGGAAAGCAGCAAGAAGATATAAAAGCCGCTTTCCGGCACGGTTTCCGAGCACGTGTGCACCGTTGGAAGGTTTCTGCCACCGTTGGAAGGGTTTGGCAAATGCACCCTAAGGGTTCGGTCCATGCTTTGAAGGGTGGGAAGCGCGGACACGGGGGGACACCAGGTCGTGTAGCAGCAATGGAGCGGGTTAGAGCCTGAGCTTTGGGGACAAAACGTCTGGTTTTGGGGTGGGGGGTTTTTTTGGGTGGGAACATTGACTCCTCCTCCTTTGGCCATCCTGGTAGTGGAGGTGCCAACCGGAGAGGTCAACGCCCGTGCTGCAGACTTGCACTTCGGCGAGATAAACCTCGATGCCCAAGAGACGGACATTAAAATCCGAGGCTTGCTGGGGGGCAATCCATCCCTTCCTAAAATTAACGTCTGAGAGAGATGAGCGCTTCCTTCCGCTCCTCCTCCTCCTTCTTCCACCCGTGCCGAGACCTTTTATTCCTTCACTCCGCTGCAGGCAGCAAGGGGAAGAGGAAGGAGAGAAGCTGGAGAAGGCACTGCCATGGCCTCCAGTTCATCAAGAGCAAGGGAAGGAGGAGAAAAAAGCACCCACCACCCCGTCCTGCACCATGGGCCGCATCCTGACCCCACCAGCTGTGGAGGTGAAATGGCCCAATCCTGTCCGGACCGAAGAAAGCTTGAAGATGATGAAGCATTCATCCACCGAAGCCGGTTCAGGAAAGGAAATTTCCAACCAAAACAACATTTGGAGTATTTAGCGGAAAAGCTGAAGCTTTTGGGTCTGGAAGGAGGCGGGGAGGAGAAGGAGCATCTCTGCTTGTGGCGCAAGAGGACGGTCACCTTCAAGGGTGATGCAAAAGCATCTGGCTCCGGCTGTGATGGACCGAGGGCTGGTGGGGGTCCCGCTGCAGCCTACGTAGAGGAATCTGCTCCTGGAGACAGGGTCAGAAAATTCCTTTTCTGAAATTTGTCTGACCGCCTTCAGGGTTACTGTGGTTTCTTTGAGGTTCTCGTGATCGCGGGCTTCAAGCCAGCTTTGAAGTTCTCTGGAGTTGTTGGGTTCCCCCCACCCTGCCCCATGAAAATAAATAAATGGAAATAATTGGGGAAAGCTATAAAAAAAATAAAAACAACACACAACTCTCTTTGGGTAAAAATTACAAAAAGATTAGTTTTCAGACTAAACCCTTTGCCCCAAATCAGTCAACAGGTATTTTCCAATTTGTTTCACGTGAGAATGAAACTGGCTCCTCTGTTGCCCTCCCATGTTTTCTCCATCCTCATGCCTGTACTGCAATTACGTATTTTTTTTTTTCCCTAATTGGAGGTGGGGAATGTTTTCCAAGCATCCCATCCCTTCCCCACTCTCCCCTAGATACCCTCCCAAACCATTTCTCTTCTTCCAGGAGCAAATACACAGTGACCTGAAGAAGCTCAAGAAACAAAGGGAAGAGATTTTGGAATTAAAAATAAGCGGGGAGAGGCGATGCCAGGACTATTTGGTAAGTAGGTGTTGCCATTGCCTGGAAAAACAAACAAAAAAAAAGAGATGTTGGTCTGTGCTGTTGTCTTTCCGTGTCCTGCAGACACAGACGGAGGTCGAGAGGCAGAAGGTTGTGTCCCAATTTCGGCAGCTGCGCCGGTTTCTGAAGGACCAAGAGTTTGTCCTCTTGGCTCGGTTGGGAGAACTGGACAGAGAGACGATGAGGAGGCAGGAGGAAGAGGACGCCAAGATGTCAGGGGAGATTTCACTCCTCGACGTCCTCATCTGCGAGATGGAGAAGAAGCTTGAACAACCTGCAAGCAGATTCCTACAGGTTGGATGCTCCACTGGGCAAGAGAGAAAAGGATTCGGCATCGCCTTGACTGGAGTTTCCACCCAATTTTGGGATGGGAAACTGAGGCTTTTTTCTCTCTCTTTTTTTTTTTTTTTTTTTTTTCTTTTTTCCCCCTGTTCCAGGATGCCCGAAGCCCTCTGGACAGGTACGTGCTCTTCCACCACCCACGTCTCAACGGTTGGGGAAGGCTCACGGGAACAGAGATGGAAATTTTGGCAGTTCAGGCAGGGCTTGAAGCGAGGTGTGGAGACGAGAAGGTGCCCCTGAACCCCAGCGTTGGGGATGCCACGAGAAGAAGCACCCCAAGACTGGAGGTCCTCTTGGCCATCAGGGCAACGGGGACACACGTGTTCTCCTGTACAGAGCTGGTTGGCATCTCCAACAGGACAGAGGGACATTTGGGGGACAACCAGCTCAATCCACCATCCCCAAAGTACCTGGGGTGCAGGGGGAGGAGGGATGGTCCCGGCATCTCACGCCGTCACGGCGAGTCCCATATCTTAAGGGGAAAGGTTTGCATCCAGGTGGGAGACGAGCAGTGCCCAGAGGACAACGGAGACCTTCTCGGAGCTGGAGCAGAGGCTCCGTGTCATTTCACGACAAAACTCCATCCTCGGAGAGACGTTGGGGAGATTTCAAGGTACTGTGGAGCATGACTGGGTTGATGGGGAGGGGGTTATCCCCCCCAGTATGGGAGGGGGCAGCTCTGCCTGCTGCTGGTTTTCCTGTTTTCCCAGGAAAAACACAACGGGGGCAGGAGCGAGCAGAATTATCGACCGGAGAGCGCGATGTCCAACCTTTGTTCTTCATCCCCTAGACATTTTGCCATCTGAACTGGAGAAAGGGCAAGGACCAGCTCCAGGAGGAGAAGGAAAAGGTGAGGAGCTCTTTGGAGGAGCAGCTGTAAGGGAGGACTCCGGCAAAGTAATTTTTAGCCAAAATAGTGCTTAAAGTGGTTGGGAAATGATGAGTTGAGCTCATTTTGGGGTTCTCCTCCAACGCAGCTTTCTTCTCCATCCCTTGCAGCATTCGTGACTCTGGACCCCGACACTGCCAACTCCCAGCTCGTCTTGTCCCGGGACCGACGAGGGGTGAGATGGACGGATGCGGGGCAGGATTTACCCCCCACCCCGCAGCGATTCGAGATCTCCTGCTGTGTCCTGGGCTGCCGGGGTTTCACCGCCGGCAGACACTGTTGGGAGGTGGAGGTAGCCGAAGGCAGGACCTGGGCGCTGGGGGTGGCCCGAAAATCCGTGCCCAGGAAGGGTTGGCTTGAGTTTCAACCAGAAAAAGGGATCTGGGCGATGGGACGGTGCAGGAATCGGTACCGTGCCTTTACTTCCCCCATCACCTCCTTCCCTGCCGCTGGGGAAACTGGGAGGGTGCGGGTGGCTCTGGACTATGGCGGGGGGCAAGTGGCATTTTACCTCGCCGAGCGTGAGCCCCCCATCTTTACATTCCAAAAAGCCTCCTTCGGTGGG